CATTACTTTGCCAACAAAGATCTGTCTAGTTAAGGCTATGGTTTTTCCAGTGGTCATGTATGGATGTGAGAGTTGGACTGTGAAGAAAGCTGAGTGCCGAAAAATTGATGCTTTTGAACTGTGGTGTTGGAGAAGACTCTTGAGAGTCCCTTGGACTGCAAGGAGATCCCACCAGTCCATCCTAAAGGAGATCAATCCTGGGTGTTCATTGGAAGGACTGATGCTGAAGCTGAAACTCCAATACTTTGGCCACCTCATGAGAAGAGCTGACTCATTGGAAAAGACCCTGATGCTGGGAAAGATTGAAGACAGGAGGAGAAGGGGGTGACAGAGGATGAGATGGCTGGATGGCATCACCAACTCGATGGACATAAGTCTGGGTAAACTCCGAGAGTTGGTGATGGACAGGGAGGCCTGGTGTGCTGTGATTCATGGGGTTGCAAAGAGTTGGACAAGACTGAGCAACTGAACTGAACTGAGAGGGTCTGGGGCATTGGGGGCCCCAGTGTACTAAACTCCTGGGATGCAAACCCTTGCGAAGCCCCTTTCCATGTTGGTTCTGGGTTTGCCTGTGTGACCTCCTCTGACCAATGGGATATTAGCAACCTCTGATGCAAGCAGAGGTTCGATAAGCCCTTCTACACTGGAACTTGTCACCTCAACAACCTGAAAGGATGTCCAGGTATCCAGGAGACTGAGAGGTCCCAAAAAGAGGCCTTGTGAGATGAGCTACATGGACAGAAATGCCACATGAAGGAAACTAAAATGCCCCAGGCAAACCCCTAGCTGAGTGCTGCCTCTCAGATGACCCTGGCCAACAGGCGAAAAGGGCAGAAGAGCCATGTGTCAACCCACACAACTTGAGATACTATAAACTGTTACTGTTTTAAGTCTTCAAAACTTTTGTGGCAGTTTATTACACAGCAACAGATGAAACAGATGTTATGTAATTTCTCTCATATCTCAAAGCTCTAATAAATAAAGCTTGAATTGAGGTCTCTTGACTCATGTCAGTGATTTATTCATTGTTTCAAGATGTAACTGAAATTGGAGAAAAATAACTCAAAAGTTTCATACGCTTCACTTAAACAATAGAAAATGAATTTTAGCTCAGAACATTCAACTGTGAAATTATCCTGTCAGCATATAAATGAATTAAAAATATATGTATGTAAATGTGGACAGGTAGGAGAGTGTGACTAAAATACTTATTAGCATGTTACACAATGTCTAAATGCTTTTCTACTTTGTATTGAAAGAATTTAAAACTACCAAAGACAGAATGTACAAGAACACTCACAGTGGTCTCATTTCTAATGGCAAAAAAAAAGGCCCCAAAAAACAAAAATTACCCAATGATGGGAAAAAGAACAACTTATGATATAGTAATACAATAGTGAAGACAGGAACTAAAGTTTCATATATCAAAGTGGACAAATCTCAAAAGTATCCAGTTGTGTGGGTAGGGGCAACAGGTGAAAGAACACAAGTGGCTTAATAACATTTATACAAAATTTCCAAAATACAAAACTTAGCAACATATTATTTAGGGATATATATGTAACAAAAGCAATAATGAAAACCAATGGGCTAATAAGTACAATATTCAAAATCACAGGTTCTCTCGAAGGGAAGAGACACTTGAAGAAAGGCAGCGAGAGTTCCAAAGACACTGGTTTCATTTCTTAATCTACGTGGTAGATAAATGTGTTTAATTTACAACAAGTATACTGTGTATCGGTGACAAATAGCTCTTTGTGTCGATAAAATATTTAACAATTTTTTTTCAATAAACAAAAAAATTAGCAAAAGGAAATTAAGACTGTCTATGGCAGTTTGTGCTTTATATTCAGAAATCAACTTGGCTTCCAAATGCGCAATAATTTTACCTTAAAAGAATTTTTAAAAACATACAAAGGTGGCTACACTCCCGATTGCACAGCAGTAATAGAAAAGCTTCCTATAGCTCTTAACTCACATTAAAATCGATAACAAAGGAAAAATATATATTTAAATTTCGTGCTTAAAATATTTCAGTTAGTCCTTTTCATGGCTTTTTGGGACCTGCCTATATAACACCTATCTTTTAACAAAATTCCCTCTGAATTCAGGGCACAGGTGCCTGTCCTTCAAAGGAGGGTCTGGTGGATGAACTAAACCTTCCATCAATTTGCCTTCCCTGGACAGGACTCCTAGAAGCACCACACTGGGTACTAACTGACCCTTTCTCTTCCCTGGCCAGAGTTGACTATATAAGGAATAGATAGCTGACCAAAGCCGATCAGTCCCCGTCTGCCACCTGCCTACCACTCCAACCTTATTCCCACTATCTTCTCCCTCAAAACCACTGAAGTTGGTGTATCCATCAGAGCACCTTCCACAATTAACAAAGAATTATACATTTATTTCAGTAATTAATCACTAATGTCTAGTCTTCCCTCTTAAACCGAAAGCTCCATGAGGGTGGGAACAGGTCAGTTTTTGCTCACTACTGTATTCCACCGACTAACACCATTCCTGAGAGTAGGCATTTAATAAGTTGTTGGGTTTAAGAGGAAGAAAGGATTTTAATATTATGCCTCCTTTCTCAAAAACTTTATAGGCATACCTTGGAGATACTGTACATTCAGTTCCAGACTAGTGCAATGAAGCAAATACAGCAATAAAACAAGTCACACAAATTTTTTTGGTTTCCCAGTGCCTATAAAAGTTGTTTTCACCAAACTGTAGTCTACTAAGTGTGCAATGGATGTCTAAAAACGTACATACTTTTATTAAAAGTACTTCTTTGCTGAACATATTGACTACCATGGAGAAAAGACAGTGGTGTTGGAAAAGCTGGACAGCTCATGTAAATCAATGAAGTTAAAACACAGCCTCACACTATACACAAAAGCAAACTCAAAATGGTTTAAGTGTAAGACGACACTATAAAACTCCTAGAAGAGAACAAAGACAAAACATTCTCTGACACAAATCATACCACTGCTTTCTAAGGTCAGTCTCCCCCAGGCAATAGACATAAAACCAAAAATAAACAAATGGGACTTAATCCAAACTTATAAGCTTTTATACAACGAAGGAAGCCATAAACAAAATGAAAAGACAATCTACAGAATAGGAGAAAATATTTGCAAACCATGTCCCTGACAAGGGCTTAATTTCCAAAATACACAAACAGCTCATACAACTCAGTAACAAGAAAACAAACAACTCAATCAAAAATGGGCAAAAAATTACCTTAACATTTCTCCAAAGAAGACACATAGATGGCCAGTCGGCACTTGAAGAGATGCTCAACTAGGCTAATTATTAGAGAAATGCAAATCAAAACAATGAGGTACCACCTCACACCAGTCAGAATGGCCATTATTAAAAGTCTACAAATAATAAATGTTGGAGAGTGTGTGGAGAAAGGGAAACTTTCCAACACTGTTGGTGGGAATGTAAATTGGTGCAGCCACATAGAAAACAGTATGGAGGTTTCTTTAAAAACTAAAAATACAGTTGCCACGTGATCCAGTAATCCCACCTCAGGGCACATATCCAGGAAAAACTATAATTTGAAAAGATACATAGCAATGTACCAAAGTTCATAGCAGCACTATTTATTTATAATAGCCAAGACATGGAAGCAACTAAATGCCCATCAACAGATGAATGGATAAAGAAGACATGGTATATAGGCAACAGAAAACTATTCAGCCTTAATAAAGAATGAAATAATGCCATTTGCAGCAACATGAATAGACCTAGAGATTATCGTAAGATAAATAAGCCAGAAAGAGAAAGACAAACACCATATGATATCACTTACCCATGGAATCTAAAATATAACACAAATGAACTTATTTACGAAATAGAGAAAGACTCATAGACTTAAAAAACAAACTTATGGTTACCAAAGGGAAGAGGAACTGGATTAGCAGGTACAAACTTCTAAATATAAATATAAAATAGATAAGCAAAAAGATCCTACTGTACTATACAGGGAACTATATTCAGTATCTTATATTAACCTGTAATATAAAAGAACATGAAAGTGTGTGTGTGTGTATATATATACATAACTGAATCACTTTGCCGTATACCGGAAACTAACACTGTGTATTAACTATCCTTCAATTAAATTGAAGCCTCCAATTAAATTGAGCCTTAAGTGAATCATAACAGTAACAAAGACCACTGATCACATGTGATCAAAATATAAAGTTTGAAATATTTTAAGAATTACCTAAATGTGACACAGAAACATGAAATGACCAAATGCTATTGGAAAAATGGCACCAATGTATTTGTTGGACTCAGAATTGCCATAAACCTTCAATCTGTAAAAAAAAAAAAAAAATCTGCAAAGGACAATAAAATGAGGGATGCCTGTATTTTTGTTTCCCTTATACAAATGAAGAGGAAAAGTTAAAATTTTACATAACCTCCTCCTCCTTCTGCCTCTATAACTCAGCTTGCCCGTTGCAAAGTCTAGATCACGTAGGTCACGTAGTTTCAGAAAGTGGGGACTTGCAATACTAGGAACTGGAGTTTATCTCACTCACCCTTGTCAGGCTCTTTGCAGTCGCCCAGCCCCTGCAAACCTGCTTAATCATGCCTGTCCAGGTCAGGCATCCCCCTTCCCCATCTTGACCACTGTTTCTGAGTGCACGAAACCTTTTAGTTTAAACCAGCCTATTAACAGCTAGTGTTGCCCACTACAGTTTGTCTATAAAAACTCTGTAATCCCTTTGTTCGGGGCTCAGAGCCTTGAGTGTTAACTCCTCTGGCCCACTGTCATAATAAACCTGAGTTCTCCAACTCCCCGAGTGTGGTGCTTGGTCTCTCAAGTACTGGTTTCTGCAACACGGAAATATACCCACTTTGGGTAGATTCAAAATTAAGGTAAAGGAATCAAAGCCATTACAGAATCTACATTTATCCTCAAAGAAGACAATGTCATAGAATGCCACCTTAAATTTGACAAGCTTAAAGAGTTTACAGAAACATACCTGAATGAAGCTGAATTTTTCCAATAACACCTTCTACCAACCCCAAACAAATGGGATTCCAGGCAAGAAGCAGATCGGTAGCTAAAATAAAATAAGAAGCAGTCATGAGAAAATATTCATTGGAAAACATTAAAGCAATATCTTTATAGAGAACAAACTAGTGGTTACCAGTGGGGAGAGGGAAAGGAGAAGGGACAAGATTAAGATGAGGGAAGGGGAGGTACAAACTACTGGGTGTAAGATGGGCTCAAGGATGTATTATATAATACAACACAAGGAATATAACCAATATTTCCTGATAACTGTAAATGGAAAGTAACCTTTAACACAGTATAAAAATAAAAAATTTTAAAAAGAAATGTCACAGAAAAGTCACAAGATGATTTAAAAAACAGTGTCTTTAGCAATGTATTAAAAAATGATCAGCAACCCCAAAGAGCAGGTATCAACACCCAGAACTGAATACAATACTAACAAGCCATTGTAGAGAAGCATTAAATCCGAGGCCTGAGTAAGTCCTCCAACATAAGGACAGTTATGGGGAGATAACTGACATTCTAAAACTCTACTTGGATGGGAGGCAGTACTTTGGCGCCCTGCAGTGGAGGAAGGAGGCTGGTACAATATAAGAGGGCAAAGAGAGGAGTTATCCAAGGTCCTACTGCCAGAGCCAGTCTTAGATCCAAAGACAAGGCCTGAGAAACCCCCACAGAGATGTCCACTTACTGAATCACACACTGGAAAATCTCCTTTCCCGAAGAAGCTAACACCAAACAAAGAAATTCGGAAAGTGAGTCCTCTTTCATGTGACTTCTATGGCAACAACAACAGGAGTCACTTCTGTTTATACTGAGTGCCTACTCTGTGTCAGGCATCCAGTCAGGGCTTCTCATCTGAACCACAGAACCAGACAGTGACTTGGATGACTGCATTCTCAATTCTCCCAAGGATGGGAGATCATTTGTACCATTCTAGACACAGACGAGAAGCTAATTCATTACACACAATAGATGCCTGAGGACGTCAGGGCTGAATTCTGTTGTGGAACCCAGGCTACAAAAGGCTGTTATACCCATGGAGATAAAGGTAATGTTAGTGGTGGCTCAATAGCAGGAAAAGATTAGCAAGAATGAAAACAATATTTCTCTTAGCAGAAATTTTAAATTACATTTTAATTATTACCATTAAATTCTATTTTAATGAAATGTATAATCAATCTGTAACTCATGTGGGTAATTACAGAAGACTTAATAGTCTCCAAATTCATTTGAGTTTTGACTATTGTATCTTGAACATCTTTGTTATTAATGATATATTCAGTAGAAGGCAAAAAAAAGTTGACTTCTGTTTTTATTGCAAGAATTAAAGTAAAATAGAGAATTAATTTTTTAAAGGCTATTATGCACACTATCATTTCTAATCCTGATAACTCTAGCAGTTAGGTATTAGGAGTCCCAAATTACAGATGAGGAAATGGAGCCTTAGAAAAGTAAAGTGGCCATATCATACAATGGGCCAAGGACAGAGCTGCAATTCAAAGCCCGGTCTGCACCTCATGGCCTGTGCTCTTAACCATCCAAATACAGTGCCTCCCTCAGAATCTATACATATATGAAACTAATCAATAAGATAATATTTACATAAGTAACATGCATTCTTATTATAAAGTAATACACTATAAGATTGGAAAAAATACTTTATCACTTCTATCCTGTCACCCAGAGATAATATTATTTTGCTACATTTCACATCATATATCTGTGTGCATAGCCAACTGCAATATTGTGAATATAGCACTATATGCTAACCTTTTCTTATAATATTTCATGAGTATTTTCTAACACCCTTAAAATTCTTCAAAATTATAACTTCACAGATGTCTAATTTTCCATTTAAGGAAGCACTTTCTCACTCTTGGGCATTTAAGTCACTTCCAGTTTTTCCCTATTATAATAAAAAATGCTGTGATAAATGATGAACATTATGCAAGTATTTCACTTGCTCACTAATTAATAGCTTTAGGACAAACTCTTAGGGATGAAATCAGTAGGTGAAAACTTTTTTAAAAAATTAAAGCTTTCAATACAATCTATAAAGGTTAAAGACCAAGTTAGATTTCTGCCAGAAGCATATGAAAATGCTTCTTACATTTGCCATCATTTAGAATTTCTTTGTAAATTTTGCTATTTTGATGGCATCCATTGCCTAAATGATGTTTATTTTCTTTTCATTGCTGGTAAGATTAAACATTTAATTATAAAATTGGTGCTTATGGTTCTTCTTCTATGATTTCCTTATTCAGATCTAAGAATTTTTTTTTATGTTCTTTATGGATTTATGAGTTTTTATATTAAGGACACCAACTCTGACATATTTGTAAATACTTTCAATTTTAAATTTTTATACAAATCATTTTCATTATCCATCATTTTTTCACTTATTGTATTATCAATTTGTTCCTTAGTGGTAGTAGTGTTAGTCGCTCAGTTGTGTCCAACCATGTTCAACCCCATGGACTGTGGCCTGCCGGGCTCCTCTGTCTGTGGGATTCTCCAGGCAAAAATACTGGAGTGGGTTGCCATTTCCTTCTCCAGAGGATCTTCCCGACCCAGGGATCGAACCCAAGTCTCCTGCATTGCATACAGATTCTTTACCATCTGAGCTACAGGGAAGATTACTAAGTTGTTCCTTACCTGTTATCAATAATTTATTAATTTTCCCTCTTTGTTAATTTATAAAAATCTAACCCTAACTCTGGAATTCATGTTGGTGTATAAACTAGAAGGATCCTGATTTCTTTTCTAATAACCAGAATCCCTGTCAGGCAGGCCACATCTCAACCTCTACCAACACTGATGCCCCTGCTAAGGAAAGAGCTCCAGCTACTCATAATCTCACCCTGACCCCAGATGACCAAGCACAGTTGCAAGGATTCTATCCCTCAGGTATCAAATGAGCTCGAGGAATATGGAGGAGGATGAAAAGTCAGAGCTAAAGCAGTCATGGACGGTTACACAGAGGAAGTGGAACTTCAAGCATAAGGAAATCAGAAAGAATGATGTGGCAGAAAGAAAGTACAAGGTTTGTTTTGGAATCCATCCCTTCACTGGGCAAATACTTATCAGGTACATTTCAGGAACCAGGCACTGAGAAGATATAAAAATAAAGGAGCAAACAATATAGATCAGAAAACCAAGGAGTACAGAGAGTATGGTAGAGATCTTCATCTATCTCTAGGGAAGACTGGAAAAAGCACACTGAGGCCAATAAGGAGAGACTTGAATAAAAGACTAATTAAGGAATCTTACTTCCTGGAGGCCTTGGCAGGCAAATAATAATAAAAGCAAAACAAGGCTGCAGCCAGGGATTAGCTGACAGCACTGAAAGGAGGTGGAGACTACAAACAGGGAAAGGAGCTAGATGGTTATTTACTTATTGCAAGAGTGTTGGCTTGAAAGGATATGGTAGTTGGGGAGCAGGGTGGGCAGTAGGTGAAGAAAGTACAGAGGAGATTAACATGAAACACCTTAAATGAAGCTACACAAAGGACAGGAAGAGGGTAAACTTACAAATGACAGTGAAACAGCTATCCTCTTTAGAGAGGGGTAAGATGAGGACGGAGATGAGTAAGGAGGAGCAAGGCACAAAAATCAGGGTATACAGTAGCGGGGAGAAAAGGTGGGTGAAAGCCTCTTAACTCAATAATACCCTTTTGCACCTATGGTATTTTGGACTGTTTGACTCTATCAGCCATTGAAGAACATTAAAATTTCACTTAAAAAACAAAACAAAAAACTATATTTTGTGGTCTGACTAAAAATAATAATCACTGATAATCTTTGAGATCCAAAGAGAGAACCAGTTAAGTTCATTAAGACTGAGTTCATGATGGGATGGTCAAGGGGAAATGTCTAGGTATAAGGACCAGAGGAGATATTAAAGGAGGAAAAGAAAACAAAAGAAAGTGAAATCAAAAGTACAGGTATAAGCGTTAACCCTGGGGGGGTGGGGAATATTACTTTTTACTAAGTCTGGAAGAAAAGATGAAAAGGCTAAATATAGAAATGGAGCTGAGAAGCAGATGCATGTATCGAATGGCCTTGACTCAGTAAAAATAGGAGTCAAAGTCATCTTTTCTATCGCAGGGGGAAGGACAGGCAGAACAAGAGGAGTACCAGATGCTAGGCGTGGTGAGGAGAATCCAGAAAGTCAGTTTGTAAATGTTCTGTGTGGAAAAACATGTATATTTGCTTAGTGTTTTCAAGAAAAAGGGCATCAATTCAATCCATTAGTGGGTCATTTTATCAGTTTTGTACAAAGAGATCAGCACTAACAGCAATAAAACAGAAAAACTGCACCACGTAGAAACATTTCACAAAACTTTTGTTTCTGGTGCATACATACATGTGTCTGTTCAGGTCAGAATTTAAAAAGTATTTCTTACTTCAAACATGAATACACTATTAAACTCTGGGGTAAGGGCTCATTGTCAACTTTGTTATTTTATTCAACTGCTCTATGTACTTGCTAATTATTTGACTGCTTAGCCTAACACTGACAGTTTGAGAGGGTGTTTTGTTTTGTCTTTTTAAATTTCATGCTTTATGTATTCCCCCCTCCCGTTTTTCCTCTGTAATTTTTGCGTTATATGTTTTGAAACTAGGTTGTCAGGCACATACAGATTCAGAATTATCATATCTTCCTGGTGAACTGCTCTGTTCATCAGGATGTAATAACTGCCTTTATTTCAAATAATGCTCTTTTGCCCTAAAGTCTAGTTTGTCTAAGATCAATATTGTAAAAGAAATATATCAGGCATTAAAAAAAATAGGTACATACAACACAGAACACTGTTAACCCAATATTACTTCTCCTACATCCCACAGCCTGAGAAACAAGTCCAGATTCTTTGGAAAAGCTCGCAAGGCTGTGCATGGGTTGCTCCTGTCTACCCTCTTCCTGCCTCCCCACCCCCAGCATCCTTCATCTTCCAGAAGTGTCCGAGGGCTGGGCCTGGAATGCTGCTCCCCACCCACTTCAGCCTGCTTTTCATTCCTGACTCAGAACAAGGGTCACCGGTG